TAGTATTAGAGGCTGATGACAATGAACTATTTCCCCTATTCCTGTTTTCATTTCTTTCTGGTGAATACTAACTTTAAAGTTGACAGAGAACTCAGAGAGCCTTTCCCTTGGCCCTTATTTTTGGGAACTTCCAGAGAGACATGGGTAGAGACACCCGTGCATGGTTTACCCCGTGCTCTCATGATTGCTAATTGTTCTGCCAGACCCCAGAGGTGGGGCACCATTATTCAGGCCTGCTTGGCCAGGCAGGAAAGCACGTGCAGGACGGGGCGCTGAACCTATGGCGTGTCGCGCACTCTCCGGCTAATGAATGCAGGCTTGTAAAAGCGTTTGGACACTGCTGGCATCCTTAATGGGAGGGTGGCCGATAGCTCAATGCAAAAGCCGTGCTTGTCTACAAGCAGCCCTTAGAAAGCAGGAAGCATGCTACATGAACCTTCCGGGAAGCAGATGGAGGAGGCTCCCGTCTGTGCACTCAGCAAGCTTTTTTTTTTTTTTTTTTTTTTTTTTTTTTTTTTTTGAGAACATCCATGCCGACCTCTGTTTAAGACACTAGGAATCAAAAAAAAAAAAAAAAGACACTAGGAATCCAAAACACAAAGGAGAGTCAGACCCTAGAAGGTCTACTTTTTATTGGAGAATCCTGCAAAGAAACAGAAAAATCATAAATAACTGTGGGGTAAGGGATGCCCAGGGAAGAACAAATGAGAGAGGGGCATGGTTGGAAATTCTTTGTGGAAGTAGTGGGGGAAATACACTGTAGATCAAGGACTTGGTTTTGGAATTAGGGCAAATCAACCTAAAAATGCTTTTAGGTCTCAACTAACAGAAGACCTAACTCAAACTGACTCGAAAAATTAAGTTAATTTATTTTCTCATGTAACTCAAAGTGCAGAGGAAGGGTAGTTCACCATGTTTTCAGGACCAGGGTTCCATTTCTCTGCCGCTCTTTCGACTACACCATCCTCCGTCGGTCAGCTTCTTCCTAAGGCTGGCTTCCCTCGTGGAGACAAAATGGCTGCAGCAGATCCAGGACTCACACCCATACGCGGCACGATCCAGATGAACCAGCATTCAAGGCAAAGCTTCTGAGATGCACTCTCTCGGACTGGCTGAAGTCACATGCCCGCATCTCATCTCATTAAGCCATATTTCAATGCCTTACTAGAAGTCGGCTGTGCATCCCAGGGAGTCTCCAGGGCCATGATGCTCCGTGTGATGACTCAGGGATCCAGGCAGAAGCAGTCTCCCCTGTCTCGTAACCACATTCCTGGGACATACAGCCTCCTGAATCAGAACAGCAAGAGAAGAGCCAGCCGGAGAGGCCGGCACTGGAAGTCAAATGCCTCCACCTGGAACAGAAGTGGCCGGCGGGGCTCCCACTCACGTTTCACTGACTATCGTAAGTCCAGTCCCATGGCCATGCCTCACATCAAGGGGACAGGTGAGAGTAGTCCATGCCTAGAAGTAGAGGAGAACCGGGTGCTGGTGGATGCTGGGGACGCCTCCCGCGGATTCCTGGGCTTCTCCAGCAGCTGCCCTACCGGCCTGCTCCACTCGAACCCCGCCTCCCCTGATTCCCACCGCCACACGCAAGAGTTTGTTTCCAGAGCGGGAGGAGACTGGCAATGGAAAGATTAGCAACTCCCAGGGTTCCACACAGGGATCAGTATTTTCCATAGTACTTTGTGAGTTCAGACTCAAAGTAAATGGTTAATTCATCTTGTATCAACAACACAGTGATTCATAATGTAAACTTGGAGCATCCTTGATGTTTCGGGGCCCACATTCCTTTTAATTTGGCTCCGCATTCTTTTAAGCCACACTTAATAGAAGGCAGCATGCAAATGCACGAGCTTTTGCCCGAGGCAATGTAGCCTGGCTGTTTCAATGGGTGTCTTCTTTCAAGTGTATATTCTTTCTTAAATTATTTACTGAGTAAACACACTTTGCATTTTCAAAAGGGAGATTAAGGCAGCTTGCTGCAGACCTAGTGGAACGTAAAGCCCCCAAAGTTAGAAAGAAGTTACTTTAGGTTTCCCCAAAGTTCCTTCTCTGGCTCACTCGCTGGGAACCCCTTTCCTGTCTTGTTTTTCTGATTCTCGGCAAACTCTGCATTCCTTTCTGCTTTGCCTACAGCGGTACCTGCCAGCGGCCCCTGGCTGTGACTTCTCCAGGCTCCCTCACAGATGGGGCCCACCAGTGCCAGCCTTTGTGTCCCCTGCTCCAGGCTGGCTCGTTCATATCCATTCAAGGACCCCAGCAGCCCCCTTTTCCAGTCCTTAGAGGCACCATACCAACTCAGCACCTTTGAGGTCCAAAGCTGGGCTGCCGGCCCGAGTCGAGCTTCTTCCAACTCTGTCTGCTCCAGTTCTGGTCCCCCACCCACCCACCCACCTGTACCCTCTGTCCTAAATGTCTGCCAGTCCTTGCTTTGAGAGAGCAAGTGCTCTCTCCCGCTGACCTCCTCTACCGCGTGTCTTATTTCCGTGGGAACCGTTCCTTCTCTTACCTTCAGGGAGAAGACCCAGTTTCACCTTTGAGGGGGTTTACTTTAGCCTTTAACTTCAGCCTTCTCTACCCAGACTCCCTGAGATTTCCCTGCAAATTGAGTTTGCACGGATGTCTTCTCCATTCACCCTTGAATGGAACGATTAGAATTACAGGAGTGGCATTCTTTCATTACGCACCTTTGGGTGGGTCTGTCTCCAGTTTTGTGTGTCAGCGACTGTGCCAGGAGCTGGGCTGCAGAGGAGAAGAAGGCTCTAGACTCTGGACACGCCATGGAGGCAGTGGACTATTCTGTCCTCCGCATGTCTCCCAGCAAGAGGTCGGGCTGTCCTGGGATCGGTGGTGTGCTGAGTGAATTAAAGATAGAGGCTGTTAAGAATGATCACGGTTGAATCACACCCCTCTTTGCCTTGAGATGAGGGAAGCCCAATTAGGAAGGCCAGGCAAGAGCTGAAGATTTAGGGATTCCTGTGTATTCATTTTTCTAACCTTGCTTCGGATTAAACAAGTAACCCCCGCGGTTAATCCTTTATAAATTAGCATCACGGATGCCTTGGGGCTCTCAACCCACAAATAAAATGGTTGTCAACCAAGAGACACACTACCGTATATTACTTAGGGCAGAATTTTAAAGAGTTTTCATGCTTTTAATCTGTTTCGCTGCTGAGTTTCAATTTTGCTGATTTCCTTTGCAAGTCTGACGCGGATGGCTGTGGTAAATAGAGATTGTGACAGTGACTTGGGCAAACGGGATGTGTCGAGACTGTTCTGAAGACTTCTGCCCCTTCCAGAGAAAAGGGGAAAAAATCAATTTGGGTTTTAAATCAACCCACCAAGTAGCACTGATCAGTGTTCATAATTAGCCTTACTTTAACAAGCCGTGAAGTCCTGTTTTTATTTATTTATTTTGGGGACAGAGAATCTCCCTGCTTCCTGAGCAAATACGGTCTGTTAAGTCTGAATTAGCTGTCACTGCAGAAGAATTAATGTCAGGGCGCAGCCTTTCTAGTGGGGAAAGGAAGAAATAAAGGAGACAGATCTTAACTGAGCCTTACGTGATAAATGAGGACTGAGCGGACCATTCATCTCCTTCGAGGAAAGTGGACACAGGCACTAAAGCAGTTTTGCGGAAGACGTGTCAGCAAATGCGATCGTTTTGTAACCTGTCAGGAGGAGAAGGAGCTAGTCCTTCCAGGGGGGTCACAGGGGAGTGGGCTTGTCTGATGCGCCCCATCTCCATCCATCCATTTAGGTTGGGAGAGGAAGGGGGTGGGCGGGGAGGACTCCAGCTGAAGCCACAGGGATGTCATCTTCCTTCCGAGAAAGAAACTTGTCCAGAACTTAGAAAAGGCTGCCAACACCCTGCAGAGATTTCTTTGCAGAGATACAAAATAGGAGGGCAGGGTCTCTTGTTAGACCAAGACAGCAGACCTTTTCCTGCTTGATATTTGCAGGACGGGCGGATGGGGTTTGCTGCGGGGTGTTGGGCACCTGGAGAGCCGGCCGGACCGCCAGCCACTCCCTCCACCGCTGTGTGGTCGGTTCTGCGGGAGGAGTGTGGGCGAGGCCGCTTGACCTGGGTTCCCTTTGATGGTCTCAACAAGGCATTCTGGGGCTCAACCTCTTTTCTCAGAATGAGCTAACACCTTAAGAAGCAACTTCATGGGGAGCTCTGCAGGCATCTTGGAGCACGTGTCTGTAGTCTGCTTCTCCTCCCGACTTCCCACTTCCCTGTCCGCATTAGGCAGAGCCCGAGCCGAGGGGGCTGGAACCCCCAGAGGTGAGGGCCCACCCCCCAGAGCACACGAGGCACTCAGGGACTTTGTGTAATTTCTCATTTCCATCGTGTGTGTGTGTGTGTGTGTGTGTGTGTTACAGAGCAAATGTAACATTTCCTCCTGGTGTAACAGAGCAGTGAGCCCCAGTGACAGATGACGGTTTCACAGCCCGAGCAGCAAGGTTGACACTTGCTTCTTAATCCTGTCCTTTTCTTCCTAAATCTCTCTTTTACTTTTCCCCGGGTATTTTTGTACAGGTAAGTACCTTACTGACATATGTTTCCTTGGAGTCTTTTACTTTAACAGGAAACACTGCAAAAAAAATGAGGCTTGTCTCACATTTTAAATTAAAAAGAGAAGCTCGCATGGGGCCCTTGATCGCTTACAGATTACTACATGGTACCCCGAGCCCAGAAAGCCATTTGATTAGCTTTTGCTTGGCAGTGAACATTTCTCCAGGTGCCGTGTGACAGTCACCGTGGAGTCGCTCGTTTCCTCGTGGGTGGTTCATCGGAGGGGAAGCTCCCGTGCACGTGCACACACACACACACGTGCACACACACACACACACACACACACAAGCCCCACACTGGGCTCCCTACCCCCACCTGTGAAACCGTCTTTTGATTAGGCAGCCTGGTCTTGGATGGTCTTTGTCAGAAAACCCTTCGTGTATCTATGTGAATTTTTTTTCCATCTGCTCTTTCCTAGAATCATCCAGAACCGCATCCTGGTCGTCGTCTTGGCCATCATCCTGGTCGTCACCATCCTGATGGCGGTCACTTTTTCTGTCAGAAGACACTGATGGATCTATTCCTCCCTGACAAACAGCAACAACGGCTTGTTCTGAGTAATTAAGACAAAATGGTCACATGAATCATTCTTTTGCGCTGACAGGCCCCGAATGACCCTCCCTCTTTTCACCACTGTTCAGCTGAAGTGCAAAGAGTGTAAAAATATTTTCTATTCCTGTTTGCATGTGGGTCGGTTTCCTTTTGTAGGTTTGTCTTCACCCAGATTTGTTTTCTATAGGGGAAGGGGAATGTTTATTTGCCTTTTGGTGATTTCATCTCCTAACCAAAATAGCCTTGGTGACATTCTTCCTTGCCCCGTGGACATGTCAGGGGTCACGGTTTGGGACAGGGCATGATGAGTCAGCCGTGGGGCATGTGATGGGCTGTGCTGTTTGTCACACATCTCTTGTCACCAAATTGCCCCTCTGTGATGTCCGAGGATAAAAATGCAGAGAAAAACAGGGGCCAAAGCCAGTGACAAGCTCCAGCAAACCAGCCCTGTTCCTACCGAGGCATAATGAAGATAGTCTACCTGCCTGAGCGCTTGCATTGAAAAGGTGGATATTCAGTGTCAGTTGTGCAGGACGTTGACTTAGCACTTTCTGTGTTTTTCTGTGTGTGTGTTTTGTTTTTGTTTTTGTTTTTGTTTTTGTTTTACAGCCAAGAATATTTTTGCAAAGCCTGCCCAAGATCCACTTTTCACAACTTTGATTCCTGCTACATGAAATATTCCCTTACCTTCCCCAAATCCCCTAGTCCCCAGAATTTGCTGACAAAGCGAGTCCTGGCACGATATTTAATTGTGACCTCCTCTCCCTTGACCTGTGTAAGCATCTCGATACCCTTTTGGTTTTAATATCTGCACTGCCAAAACAGCCCTCCTAC